TGGGTTGTCCGCCACACAGTCCCTGCAATGGCACCTGGGACTGTGCCTTTGTATGGTGAAGCCTGGACTTCACCATAGTGAAGTGACCTTTAACTCTGGGCTCTCTTCCGCAGCACTCATGGGGTTTTTCAGGAAGTCATCCAGGCCATAAGAAGGCAAAGCTGCACGCTTTCTGCAGCTCGTCTCTCCAATCTCTCTGTACCACCAAAACGAGGCTGGGAGGGCACCAACAGGGAGAAGCAGAGCACTGGCCTAGGCAGTCTCAGATTCTCTCTCCAGCTATCTTAGCTTCTAATGGTTTTGCTGATGTCTTACCCCAAGACATGGGAGACTGGATCCCCTCTTATGGTCCAGGAAGCACCCAAATCACAGGCAACAAAACAAAAATTTAACAAGTGGGACTACATCAAACTGAAATGCTTCTGTAGAGCAAAAGAAATGATCAGCAAAATGAAATAGAATGAAAGAAAATATTTGCAAACCACATATCTAGGAAGGAATTAATTTCCAAAATTTATGAGGAATTCATACAATCCGGCAGCAAAAAACAATCTGAATAAAAAATGGACCAAGGACCTGAAAAGACATTTTCCAAAGATATACACAAGGCCCATAGGTTCATGAAAAGGTGCCCAACATCACTAATTATCGGGAAAATTCAACCCAAAATCACAGTAAGATATCACCTGATGTCTGTTAAAATGGCACAAAAACAAAAACAAGAAATAACAAATGCTGGCAAAGATGTAGAAAAAAGGGAACCCTGGTGTGCTTCCGGTGGGAATGTAAATTGGTACCACCAATATGGAAAACAGTATAGAATTTCCTCAAAAAATTAAAGGTAGAACTGCCGTATGATTTAGCAACTCTGCTTCTGGGTATATATCAGAAGGAAGTGAAATCACTGTCTCGAAGAGGGATCTGTACCCCCATGGCATTGTAGAATTGTTTGCAATAACTAAGACACCGAAATAAGCTCAGCGCCTATCAGTGGGAGAACGGATTAAAAAAAACATGAAAAAAGAAAGAAGGAGGGAAAGAAAGAAGGAAAGAAAACAAAGGAAAGTGTAGTGTATAAATATAATGGAATGTTATTCAGCCATAAAATGGAAATCTTGCCATTTGCAACAACATGGATGGACCTTGAGGACGTTATGCTAAGTGAAGTAAGTCAGACAAAGAAAGACAAATTCCGTATGATCTCACTTATATGAGGAATCCGAAAAATCCAAACTCAAGAAACAGAAAATAGATTGGTGATTGCCACAGGTGAAGGACAGGGAGTGGGGGAAATGAGTGGGCACAGTCAAAAGGTACAAGGTTCCATTTGGAAGATAAGTAAGTTCTGGAGATGTAATATACGGTATGGTGACTGTAGTTAACAACGCTATATTTTTATGTCTGGAAGTGGCTATGAGAGCAGATTTTAAAAGTTCTTAAACAATGCACGTAATGGGATGGATGTGTTAACTTATTGTGGTAACCATTTTGCAATATATACATATATCAAATCATTACGTTGTACACCTACACTTATACACTATGATATGTCAATTATACTGTAGTGAAGCAGGAGAAAAGAAAAGAAAAATTTTTAAAATACCGATCTTCCTACTTCTAACCTCGTACTTCTCCCACTCATCATATAGACAGCAGAGTTAGCACTTCTGCTCAAAGAACATTAAATACCCACTCTGTAGCATGTCTTTTATTATATCATCCCATTTTAATCCCCGGAACAGTCCCTACGATAAACATCATCACGCCCATTTTACAGATGAAGAAACGGAAGAAAAGAGATTCGAGAAAACGTCTCAAGGTCAGAGTGGATGGGAATGGCCATCCCAAGTCTGTCGGACCCCCAGCTCAGCTCCTCCTGCTGATCCATGCTAATCCTGCTTAATCTGACTTCAGACCACCTTCTTGGCTCTGCTTTGTACAATCACGTCCTTGCTCCAGGCTCACTGCACTAGCGTGGACATCTTTTCTCCGCTCTTCATCAGATCAGGTGCTCGCCCTCTTACACTACGATTGTCCTTAGTTTTCAAGGACTACTTCAAAATCAACTCAGAGAAGCATTCCCTTATCCCCTTCACCTATCTCTCTTTGTGCTTTTTTTTTCAGGATTCAGATTTATTCTCGAAAGTTTTTAGTGTATTTTGCATCATAATCGTATTTGCATGCCTAGCTCGCCAATTAAACTTTCGGTTCCTTTTCCATATTCGCACACCATTACCCTTCCTGTGCCCCACATTCACTACAGGGTTTTGTAAAGATGTTGGATGTATGTCAAATTTTGACATTCTTAATTTTAAGAAAAGAGCTGGTGTAGATTTTCTATTTATGATACCGCTTTGCTCTTTAATCAAGGTTCACTGGAGGAAAGGGTCTTAAAAATGCTACAACAGAATGTATTTCCAGTCAGCCAATCCATGAAAGAATCAGGATAAAAATAAATAATAAAATCAATCAGTGGGCCAAAATAGTTATTTATCAGTTAATAGGAACTGAGACAACTTTTTCTCTTTGTGGTATAAATCAGTGATTTCAGGAGAGGTTGAGGTTTAATACCTTTGTTAGTTCATTTTCATGTGTGTTGGGTTTGGGGCGGAAGAGGACCCAGAGGAGAATGATTAATCTGCCTTGTTTAACCTGAAGTCCTTGACTCAGCGCTCCCTATACCACACTTCCAATGTAAACCCTAGGAAAACTTGAAAGCCACTGCCAATAATTTGAAGCATTGTCATAGAAAAGGAATTTGAATTGGATACAACCCTCAGTGTAGAGACCAATGAATGTAAGAGCTCAGGGAAAAAAATTTAACTTTCACAACATGAATTTTGAAACAACCAGAGCTGTCCCAGGAGGTCAGAGACCAAGGGAAGTCTAGTCATCTCTTCCCATCACTTGTTCTGAAAACACAATAACACCTTTGTTCAAGTAATTGCCTTCAGGTATTTTTGGAGCTAGGTAGTAATGCATGAGGCTATTCTGAGTTACTTGAATGAGTAAATTTTTACATAGTAACACCAGTGTCTTCTGGCCAGTTAAACTCAGGATCAAGGGCCAATAGAAAGGCTCTTCCTTAAGGTATGTGAGAAATCTGGGCAGAGCTAATTGGAGCTAAGCAGCCATTTAGACATCAAATTTGTTCTGCTTGAGGCATGGGAAGCACTATAATTTAATGGCTTTGGAGTCAGAAAGAATTGGATTCAAAACAGTGTCAAATATTTGACAACTCATCAAAGGAACTTACTCATGAGCCTAGCACATTGTAAAATTTCAATACACGTTGTCTCTATTTTGTTCTCTCCACACGGCCATCATCCTGGTCCTACCAATCATTTGTTGCCCCTCAGAAGAGAGAACTAAGAGATGAACATTAGGAAGGAATAATAAGGGGCGCCTGGGTGCCTCAGTCGTTAAGCCTCTGCCTTTGGCTCAGGTCATGGTCTCAGGGTCCTGGGATCGAGCCCCTCATTGGGCTCTCTGCTCAGCGGGGAGACTGCCCCCCACCCCCTGCCTGCTGCTCTGCCTACTTGTGATCTCTCTCTGTCAAATAAATAAAATCTTAAAAAAAAAGAATAAGAAGATTTTTAAAAATCATTCAGTGGGAGCACCTGGGTGGCTCAGTCGGTTGGGCATTCCGACTCTTGGTTTCAGCTCAGGTTGTGGTCTCTGGGCTGCGGAATCGAGCCCTGCGTTGGGCTCTGGGCTCAGTTTGCCTCAGATTCTTGGTCCCACTCCATCCCCCTCCCTGTCCCTGCTTACTTGTGCACACACTCTCTCTCCCTCTATCTCAAATAAATAAAATCTTAAAAAAAAAACATTCAGTGAAGACAAAATAAAAACCCTGAACAGTGCAAAACTCGAAGTCAGGAAATATCTACTTTTTGACTAAGTCGCAACGTGGAGTGTACAGCCTGTGCTCTGTAGGCCTTGGTTTCCTGTAATGAAACACAACACGCCAACTCCAGAAAATGTGTTAGATGAGTGAGTTAACAACAATGGAAATAAACAACTTGCCACTCTTCAAGCCACCCCAAAGAACACAGTCTTTGTTTAGAAACAGATAAAATGGCCCACGCATGTTGTGGGGAGATCACCTCTTTGGGCAAGAGAGCCCTGTGGGCAGGACTTGCTGGGAAGTTTCCCTCCAGAGCAGGTCTGCCCAGTTCCTGGAGCTCACCGAGGAGCAGCCAGCAGCCCAGCTCCCCCTCAGAGAGAACAGCTGTGGCCAGCAGGACCACTGCCCACCCCTCGGGAAGCACGGCCTCCACCCCCGGAGAGGAGAAAGCCCAAACACTGCGGGCAGCTTGCAGGAGTTGAAGAAATGACACCCCTTCGTTGTGGGACTGGTCTGGCAGGATTCTGTTGTTCCTTTCAACCTGTGGAATCTGATTTCTCTGCTCCCAAATTCCTTCTCTGGGTCAGCCTTTCAAGGAAAAAAGGACATGGTGTGGAAGAAAACTCATTTCCTTTACCAATTAATTTTTTTTTAAAGATTTAGTTTTTAGGGAATCTCTACACACAACATGGGGCTCAAACTCACAACCCCGAGATCAAGACTGAGCCAGCCAGGCGTCCGTGGGTCCCTTCATTTACAGTAGCTGGCTGAGCGCTCTGTGGGCACTTGAAATGTTACAATATTTCCTGATCGATCAACTTAGAAGAGATACTTCTGCTTAACTATCTTTTTTTTTTAATTTTATTTATTTATTTGTCAGGGAGAGAGAGAGAGAGAGAGAGAGCTTACAAGCAGGAGGAGCAGCAGAGGAAGAGGGAGAAGCCGGCTTCCCCTGATGTGGGACTCAATCCCAGGATCCTGGGATCGTGACCCAAGCTGAAGGCAGACACTTAACGAACTTTGAGCCACCCAGACGTCCCTGCTTAACCATCTTTAAAACGAAAAGTGTATTTTTCCAGGGTGGAAATGTGGAGTGAGATAAAATGTAAATTTTCTTTTTTTAAAAAAAAAAAAAAAAAAAAATATTGGGAGTAGCTTAGGCTACACTCCCTTCTCTGCCTCCTGTCCAGGATACTCCCCTCCCTCATTCTTCAGGTCCTTTGCTCTGTTATTTGATGTGGAGTAGTATTCTGATGTCATAATAACACACATGACTTTTTGTTGAGACAAGTCAGTAAGCCTAGCTGACTTTTATAAATTATCATCAACCATCCCAGAGGGTCTTTCCTGCCATCACTTGTGAGTGATTTTCTGCTGGTGTGTCTGTTATCACTCCCCAGGACATAATCCTTTAAGAAAGCCAATTTAGCTCAGCACTCCTAACCTCATTTTGGAGTAAAATAGGCCAATGATCCTGCCAGCCTAATGTCTCCTATCTACTTAGCCATAGCCACTTTTTTTTCTTAAAAAAAAAAAAAAAAAAAAAAAAGGTGAACTGTTCTTCCAAAGGAATTAAGGTGTTTAAACAAATCAATGCAAACAATTTTAAAAATCCTACTTCATGGGCTCAGTCCATAGAGCGTGTGACTTTCAGTCACGGGGCTATAAGTTTGAGCTCCACACTGGGGATAGAGATGACTTAATAAAAAAAAAAATCTTACTATAATTTATCTACTTTGGGACTATTATCTTAATCACTTGGGTAATTCTTCTGGAAGTATCCCCATGCTATGAAAAACTAGATTACTTAGATGTACGGATGATCTTTATAAGAACCAAGCAGCATTGAGGTCTCGGGAAACAGCTTTGCATTTGACACAGGATGGAGATACACTTTTGGCACGGGCCCATTTGGTGTGTTAGACTCAGGTTTTCTTGGAACCTGGACAGGACACCAATGTCGGAGAAAAGTAAGATAAAACCTCGAGGAGAGATGACAGGTCATATGAGCATCCTCTTGGCCCCCAAGTGACCTCCCCTTTGAAAGATGGATCTGGAACCTTGCACTAGATTTTGGTTCCGTGCAGGGAATCTTTAACCAGCTATCCCATTCTAGGGGAAAGGACGAAAGGGAAAGAAGGCAGAAGGTGTAGGAAAGAAGCGGTCAGAGAACCAGCGCGACTGAGTATGTAAGAAAAGTGACAAGAGTTTGTTCAAATACGTGTTTTAGTTCCACTCCAGAGATTCTGTAGGTCTGGGGTAGGGCCTTGACAATCCATGTTTTACATGTTTCCCATCTGATGCTGATGGCCAGAATTTGTGGACTACTGTGGAAAGGCAAAGCTTACACCTGAACAAATCAGGATCCAATTTGTTAGCCTGGCTTTGGAGGAAAAAAAAAAAAAGGCCCAGGGATGTTTTAAATTAATTAATTAATCTATGTTCTCCTACCCTCTCTCCTCTTCAAGCACCTAATCTCTTGTATTCATTGCCTCGGGGGAAAAATAAGCCAGGGTGAAAAGGAAGCAACCTTCCAGAATCTTCCAAAAACCTAAAATCCTTAAGGGGATTAGACGCACAGGAGAAAGGTTGGAGAGCTGGAGGATGGGGCTGTTGAGGAGGGTGGAGCCATCCCTAGAAAAAAATTGAGAAAGACTGTCTAGGCAGAGAGGATATGGGGCACAGAGACAAGAGGACACAAGTGCCTTTGCATCCCCTAGGGGGAGGGGCCCTGGGGAGAGAGCAAAGCCAGAGCCAGTCCATAAGATTCAATGGCAAAGTGTATCGCATTTCACTCTCCAAAGTCAGAAGTCCAGCAGTGTAGAAGGACACAGAGAGGAAAGGCTACACTGGGTACTGAGGCAGGCGAGGCCTTCAATTGCTGCAGAAAGTGTCTGAAGCCTTAGGATGGTACAGACGCTGCACCTGAGGAGAACAGGGAAGAAAGCACGTGAATCGAAGGAGCCAGAATTTGTGTGGGTGGACAACATCAAGAAATAGTTGCCCTTGGGGCGCCTGGGTGGCTCAGTGGGTTAAAGCCTCTGCCTTCAGCTCAGGTCATGATCCCAGGGTCTTGGGATCGAGCCCCGAGTCAGGCTCTCTGCTCAGTGGGAGGCCTGCTTCCCTTCCTCTCTCTCTGCCTGCCTCTCTGCCTACTTGTGATCTCTGTCAAATAAATAAATAAAATCTTAAAAAAATAAAAAAAATAGTTGCCCCCCACCTTACTCCCCACAGCATTATGGAGCCCTAGAAACAGCTCTGGGGAAAAGCGGGTGGGGAGGGGCATGGTAAGACCTGACTTGACTGGGTTTGTTTTTGCTCTCGCTGAAGAAGGCAATTTTGAAACAAATTCTGTTGAATTAAGTATAAATTTACATTTTTTTGTACCCCTGAGGTGTGGACACAAGATTCAAGTCGGCTGCCCTAGATGTTACATCAAGGGAATTATGGGGGCATCCCATGATAAACCATTTAACAGCTTGGAGCAGGTGTGTGTGTTGGAGGGGGGAGGTGTGACGTGCTCACAGCTGAGGTTCTGAGATGCAGCCAACAGCCAGGGTATCTTCATTCCAGGCTGAAGATCTTGTGTAGAGTTGTAAGTCACTCCAGGATACACGCACTATCTCTGGTTCTAATTTAAGACATCTCGAAATAGGGCAAAGAAATAGGGTGACCAGATTTAGCAAATTAGTTGTCCCATGCAATATTTGCAGCATTGGGGACATACTTGTATTAAAAAATTATTCATTGTTTATCTGAAATCCAAATTGAACTGGGTATCTTATATGTTCTCCAGCAACGCTGCAAAGAAGGGAATTCACTTATCAGAGTCTGGGGCCCACTAAGACATCGGCCCAAGTACCCCGATCTGGTTAGCAGAATCCCAGGCTACCACGGAAATCTTACCAAGGCCTTGCTGAGAAGCAGCTGGCCATAGCTCTGTGAGAAGAGACAGGATGTCAGTGGGCTCAGTAGCTTCCCGAAACATCTCGCGCTCCACTCCTTCCATTTGCCCTGCCTGTGGGAAGTTCTAGAACGCCTCTTGGCTTAATGAAAAAGGCACAGGTTTGGAAATCAGTAGGACCTGTGTTCAGAGCTTGTCCCTGGTGCATGACTTTGAGGGAATCACTCAACCTTTCTCTTTCAGACTACTCCCTCGAAGACTTACGAGGATGAATGGTAGTGCGGCCAGCGAGGGGTGTGGCATGCCGTGGGTACTCCAGAACGCTATCATTTCATGCACTTAGTTATAAATACGAGTGTAGGAGACTTGAAATTCTCTTCCTTGCTGTCTTCCTTGCTTCCAGAAGGCCCCACTTTGATACTGCAGTTACTTGGGGACACTGTTGGTCCTATAGCAAAGTTCAGTCTATGTATGTATGTCTAAAGTATACATTTAAAAATTTTTTTAAAAGATTTTATTTATTCATTTGACAGAGAGAGAGAGAGAGATCACAAGTAGGCAGAGCAGCAGGCGGTGGGGGCGGGGGAGCAGGCTCCCTGCCAAGCAGAGAGCCCGATGTGGGGCTCGATCCCAGGACCCTGAGATCATGACCTGAGCTGAAGGCAGAGGCTTTAACCCACTGAGCCACCCAGGCACCCTTACCCATCTATTTTGACAGAGAGTGTGTGCACTAACTGGGGAGTGGCAGACAGACAAAGAAGCAGGCTTCCCGCCAAGCTGGGAGCCCGATACACAATTTGATCCCGGGACTCCAGGACCATGACCTGAACCAGAGGCAGACGCTTAACTGAATGAACCACCCAGACGTCCCTAAAGTATACATTTTTTCTTAAAGACTTTATTTTAAGTAATCTCTACACCCAATGTGGGGCTTGAACTCACATGCCTAAGATCAAGAGTCACATTCATGCTTTAACTGAGCCAGCCACGTGCCCCTACAGTACCTTCATTTCAACTTTTTAGAATTTATTTACATCTAAAGAAAGCAATGACACCCTCAAATTGTACTCAAGTCCCCAGGTTGAATGTCCTGATCACTGTTCCACTGAGCCAGGGTTGGGGGACAAGGCTGGTCCATGTTCAACTTTCACCTGCCTGGCAAGGTGTTTAAAATCGGAGGGGGAGACAAACCACGAGAGACTGCGGACTCTGAGAAACAAACGGAGGGTTTTGGAGGGGAAGGGGGTGGGGGACTGGGGGATCCTGGTGGTGGGTATTAAGGAGGGCACGGATTGCATGGAGCCCTGGGTGTGGTGCATAAACAAGGAAATCTTGGAACACTGAAAAAAGAATAAAATTTAAAAAATAAAAGTATGACGAAACATAAAAAAATGTAGAACATAAACTTAAAACGATTTAGGTAGTGTACATTTTCCAAATGAAATTTATCCGCATCAGTACATATTCAAAATACTTAAAAATAAGTAACAGTACAGCCGTCATCCCTAATGGCAGGAAAAAAATCATCACCACGTTCCTACCTGCCGAATGTGTGGCCCAGGATAAAATAAATATATGTGTCCAAGAGCATCCCGAAGTTTAGGGTATATATCTTTGTCCCTTTGGTTCACACTTCCTGTTTTGGTATAACCCCTCAGGGGAGACACCATTTGCATCAGATTGTGGAAATTGTGGAAATGTGATTTTTTTCTGTTTCCCTCCAACACTGCAATTAGTCCATGGTCTGTGGTGAGTTGTATTTAAAAGGAAAAGAGGGAGATTAAAGGTGGCTTAACCATATAAGAGTATTTAAAAAAAAACAACAACATTCATTTTAAAGTATTTTTGAAACACACAGAAAAAATAATTCCATAACATAAAAGTTGTTGAGAGGAATAACAAATTGCAAAACCTATGAATATGTCCTCATCCAATCAGTAAAACACACTTCTCCAATTTGTGCCCGGATAGGAGAGGTTAGGAAACCGTGAAGTGGCCATAAGGAAGGTCTTTTCTTTTGAATGTATTATTCATCCGTCATTCATTATTTAGGGCGTTAGTAAGTGAAACTCGTCCCTTCTGCACCGCGATTCCTGCAAGGTATCCGTCATCTTCCCTTCGTTTATTTTCACAGCTTTTTAAGTTCAGTCAACAAGGAGCCAATCTGGACTGAGAAGACTGACCTATGGAGAGTGAACACACCAAAGGTGAGTCCAGGTCAGCTGTGGACCCGGTGGAAATTTCGACCAAGTTCTCCGAAATGGCAGGTTGTGACTATTTGTTGGAATTGAGCACTTTCTCTCCCCTTCCTCCTCTTAGCGCCCCCTTCTCTCTTACACACTCCTTAAACAGCTCCCCCTTTTTCTCTATTGCTCACGTGGATAGACGTGTTCAGTGAACGTTGCTGAAAAATCCAAATAAACGGTCTGACCGGTCTTGTTTAGACGACATGGAAACGGCCACTGGGCGTTTCTTTTCCTTCGCTTGAAAAGAGGACAGAGGGCTTCTAAGAACTATTGGATTTCCTTTTTCCATCTCCGTTTTTAAGACTTTTCAAAGGATCCAGTTCTAAAGTTAGTGATGGAACGCACGAAGGGGAGAAGTCTGCTTCCTTTTGTTTGTAAACCCAACCCAGTCCTTAAGAGAAGGAAGATGCCGGTCCCCGAGGATGCCTAGCTTCAGAAGGGTCAGCCCATGGGATGAGGAATTAAGGGAGAGGCATACTCATAATGGCCAATAGTAAAAACAGAAAAAGGGCTTTTCCTTCCCGATCTCATCAACTCCCAGTGCCCTTTTATAGATTCGTCTCCTTACCACCCAGCTGCAGACCTTACCTGTTTCCAGTTCCTGCAGCTCTGCCTGGCCCAGTCTAGTTGCAGAGAGACGAGGGATTATACTCCCCTGTTAGCAAGCATTAAGCTAAGATCTCAGCACTTCGGTTGCAAGGGATGGGCCTAAAAACAGGTGCTTCTTGTAGGAAGTGCTTGTGAGTCACTGCTGACTCACAGCGGGGGCAAGATTTTATGAGCAAACAAGTGAAAGAGAGCTGGTTTAACTGTTACTAATTTAAAGCATCTAAGTTAGGGTTTGGATTTAATTGTGGCTGGCAGAGGCTGTTTGTTGCTTGGTTCCGGGCTGTGTGGAGACCTATGTTCTGCTTTGATGTTTTAATTCTGTGCACGGCATACGTGCTGAACTTAAACCTTCCGGTGCGAGGTGGTTTTCCTTCCCCGGGGGTGGCGTGTTTAAGCAGACTTCGCTCCATGTCTGCGGGGTTGGTTTTTGTTTGTATGGCAATACTGCCTACTTAGTATTGAATGTAGTAGCATAGTGAACGTCCCTTGCATTTGCATTGGAGAATATTTGAAAAGTTCTTTTTTGGCTTTTGGATTTGAAGGACCATATTTTTGGTAGCCCACGATATTCTATGGTCTCTGTAACGGATCCAGACAAGGTGAGACACGTTGAGGACAGAGGCCACGGGTTACACATACCGGCTTCCAATTCATCTTGTTAACCAAGCATTGTCTGTTAAACCAACTCGGCTATCCAGGATACTGGAGAATAAGGATGTATTAAATCCAGAACATCATTTCAGGTAGCATCTAGCTTCCTTTGGAAAAAGAAACCAATGAAAATAAAAAGAAAAAAAATTGTGTAATTCTGTTTTGCTGTGGACTAAGGTGAAACGTACCAAACGTTAAATAAGGGGGGAAAAGATCTACATGCTCTATAAGCTGCTGGTTCATCAACTCTTAAAATTGTTGGTTGTTGTAGACTAACGACGAAGGGGAATTCCTAAGCCTGCTCCTTACAGAAACCTTGGATAGCTCATTGCCTTGATGCCTCGATCCATAAATGTTCAAAGGAGCAAATGTGTTCATGTTTGGCTTCTAGGACGGAAGGTGTATGTGAGTCTTTTAAAAATGATTTATTTCTTGTATTTCATGTTTTATGCCTTCCTTATTGTAGGAGGAAATAACTCTAGTTGTGGGGGAGGAGGAGAGAATTTTTGATGACCAGCTGCAGGAAATCTTTAGACTAAAGGATCCGTTATGATTAATTTTTTCCCAGAAGTAATTTTTGGAGAAAATCCTGCATCTGAATATTGTATTGATTTCATAACACTTACGTAAGGGCCCAAGCTATTAGAAGTAGGTAATCTACTGAATTGTTTTGGTGATTGGTCAAGTGGAAAGCTGTTATTTCTGTTACAGTTTAGGAAAGGTGAAAGCTATACATTTTACTTCAAGTTGCCTGACTTCTTTGCTTGCATTTTAGTTACTGGATGCCAACACAGTACTGTGAATCTTTGCTCTTAGGGTTTGTTCCTGCTTGCTTTTATACCTTAACAGTGATTTTGTGAGTGCTTTGGGAAGAGGAAAGTTAGCAACTCTAAGGAAGTAATCTGGTATTTCTTTTCTTGGCTCCTAGCTTCTTGGATTATGAGTGGATTTATTCTACATCCACATCCCTTGTTTCTCATGAGTTAACTCTAGAAAGACAACTTGTACAAATAAGGATATTTGGGATTAGCAAAATGTTCTTTAAATATCTATGCACAAGTATATTTCCTAACTAATGTTTAGTTTCAGACACTTAACATTTCAGATGTACTTTATAAATTTCAGTGCATGGTTAATTCTCAAATGGGATGTACATACGAGTCACCTGGTACCTTGTTAAAAATGCAGATTCTGACTGAGTAGGCCTGGAATGGGCAGAAACCCTTTACCAGCTCCGGGGGGCCGGTGCTGCTAGTCCATGAGTAGCAAGGGGCCCAAAGACCCATTTCAACCGGGTAGGTTATGCCTTTCTTGTGGTGGTGGTGGTGAGATGATGTGTACATTAGAGCTGATAACATGTCAATTCACAGAATGCTCTTGAAAAGAAACATCATCATGAATCAGGATCTGATAAATCCAAGCATTCTCTACAAATGCTTTAAAAAAGAGAAAAAACGAAAAAGTTTAGTCCAAGTAAATTGAGTTTTGCAGACATTATAGTTGTACACAGCTTGCAACCTTAATGATGAGTTTAGTTTTTAATGTAACTGGTTAATTATATTTTAAAAATGAAACTAAGCCAGTAGATTTATATTCAATAAATGAATTTAGTAGCATGTTTTTAGAATTTAGAATGTAGAATTTTGGGGGTGAGTTATTAGTGTCAAGTTCTAGTGGTTAATAGACCATAATGCACTAAACTTTAAGAGAACTCAGGAAAATAGTAAAGTGTAATGCACTCTATGAACAGAGGTTGTTTTACTGTTTGGCACACTGACATATACTAGAAACTACCATATATACGTCCTCAATAAATGTTTTTTAATATTTAGATTATGTTTATAAATGGCTTATAACTATCCACATCTTCCTTTAGCCCTGGTCTCAATTGTTTATACTTAATAGGAGTGCATATTTGAATATTAGACAAAAATGTTTAATCCTAGTTGATTCATTAACTGTCTTGTTAGGATGGAACTAGTCTTCCTGAATTTGGTTCTTATTCCATTCAATAGAACTGAATTTCTATTTAGAATTGCTAAGTTTAAAACAAGCCTTAAACTGTAAAAGGATATATGTAAACACATATATGCCAAAGGCTAGACTACATTGACATAAGTGGGAAGAGGAAAAAATTTTATATGAGATGTTAGAATTAAGTGATATATGTAGTTAATCAAAATTTGATATTAGTTGGTTCATTTAGTCTTAAGTATAGCTTTATTCCCCAAAGGCAGAGAACACAGTAAGTTAATGAGAGCAATAATGAGATGCATCTTGAAATAGCCTCCCGATGTTACCGCCCTTCTTCCTTAAATACAAACAAAAACCCAGTTAACTTTCTAGAATCTCAGCCCCACGTTGGATTTTCTCCAGTTAAGACTGAAGTGTATAATGATTTAAAAAAAAAAGAAATGAATTTCACCTTATTTTCCTACACAATGAAATGCTTGATAATAATTAGCACATGAAAATGTGTGTGGAGATCTATCCAAAATTCTCAAAAAAAACAGTAATTTGCTTCAATAGACATCACAGTGGATACTTCATTTTATGTTAAGATAAAATAAACACATAGTTTTCTAACTTCTTATAATTGTCATCTCTAAATACCCTCTTGGCCAGAATTGACTACCTTTTGAAGAATGTATAAAGACTGTTTTTCAATCTGGATTGGGCTTAGACTAAACTGTATTTCAGTTGAAATGAATGGGTATTTCTTATCTCTTAGAGCAGGGTCAGCAGCCTCCCTGTGTGCTCTTGTAATGGGCAGACAGTTACCATATCGTACCGGGGTGGGGGGAATAAGTTTTTTGGGGGGCGGGGCAGGCGCCCTGGTAGGAACAGGCTTTTCATAAATTGCCATCTCTCCCAATATAACCAACCATTCTGGCTGATAAAACTGGGTCCAGGTTTAAGAAAAGTGAAGTTGGGCTAATCTTTGTTGGAAACTTGGTTATTGGGAAGGAATTCCCGTGTTTTTTCTGAGGTTCTGCTATTTGGTCTGAATATAAATAGCTTTTAGTTTTTCTACTCATCCTTCACGGTATTCTTTTGTTTTTATGATATATTTTGAATTCTGTTGATCTTGCTTATGTGGCTTCTCTCTGAATTTGGAAGCCTGATGTATGACATCCTTTCCACCCACACGGCCCAGCTGATATATTATACACTCCCATCCTACTACGTATCCTCATGTCCCCATGCCATGGTGCGGGTCATGTCCCCATGCCATGGTGCGGGTCAGTGCATTCCCATGTGATCCTAAGCCAGATATTTGAGTCTGGTCTTTCCAGTGCTATCATACCTTAAAGTTGGCAAACGTCCCTTCTCCCTACGCGGTAAGACAGAACAAATATCTAAACATTTTAGTTGGTGTAGAGGTCATCAGAGAGAGAGAGAGAGCAAGAGAAAGGGAGAGGTTTCTAAGGTATGCTAGTCTCCATTAAAGTGGAAAATCATCTTTTCAAAGAAAAATGTTTTAAGTGGTAGATGGGTCTCTAAACTGGCTAAAAAAATGACAAAGTGAGGGCAAGAGCATGGGCTTTGCAGTTAGGAGGAGGAGAAATCACTCAAATATTGACTCTGCCATTATTTTAAAAATATTTTTAAAAAAGATTTTTAATTTATTTATTTGACAGACAGGGATCACAAGGAGGCAAAGAGGCAGGCAGAGAGAGAAGAGGAAGTAGGCTTCCTGCTGAGCAGAGAGCCCGATGTGATGCAGGGATGCGGGGCTCGATCCCAGGATTCTGGGATCATGACCTGAGCTGAAGGCAGAGGCTTTAACCCACTGAGTCATCCAGGCGCCCCTAAAAATATTTTTTAAAGAGTTTTTTTATCCCCTTAATACCCAGTTTCCTTATTTGTAAAATGATAATAGTTTCTCTAAGGATTGTTAGGATTACACAAGAATCTCTCTAGTATATCATCATAGGGATTTGTTCATGATACTCCTGAATGCTTTATCATCAAATAAATAAATGAATTTGAGAAATAACTTGTTACACAGTATAGAAAACAAATGAGCAGACTCAGAAAGCTTATATAAAGCAATTTAGCTGTATTCATGAGTGTATTATTTATCATAATAAAATAGAAACAGCCAAAATTGGTAATAATTAGCTGTAGTATATACAAAGTGATTGCTATGTAACACTTTTCTGTGTGTTCAGGATATGGAAGTGAGGGGGAAAAAATCATTGTCTTCATGGAGTAAGGGAGAAATGAGTTTCTATTAAAATACACTCAATGAAACAACCCAAAACTTAAGATAACTTCTTAGAGGTCTAAAGATTGATGGGAAGAGAAGTTAATAATAAGGAAAAGAATGAATAAAAAAGATAGCTAGTTCATAACACAAAATTTCTAAGGGATATCCTCCAATTCTGTGAACTACAGAATCTTACTAGTTTTTAAGGGATTAAATTCATCATCTATAGGAATTGGCTAATTATAAGTACTAAATAATAATTATTCCCTTCCTCAAGAACCTGTTAATTCCTAATACGGCTGGGATGATTTCAAGAATCCCTATTATTGCTCCATGTCATTTGATACTTTTTTTTCTAATTTATATATGGTATCTGTTAGAGAAATGTTCATTGTATGTTTGAATGTGGGCAGAGTCTTTAAATTTTATAATCAGAATAACTTGATTAAAATTCATTCTATTACTAGTAATTCCTAACTGAAGAATGAATCCTGTACCAAAAATATATGAGGAACTCTAGGTTTGGCGATTTGTAACTCCAAAGTGAATTTCAGCATAGAAACAATGTTATTTTTGAATCTCAAACTATGCACAAGAAGTAATTTCATCCCACAGTAAGGCTGATACTATTTTAGGGTAAAATTAGGCTGTAGGAAGTTTTGAATGCGAATTTCTTCTTGCCTTTTATTTCTTCTCTGCTGTTAAGCCTGGTAACATTTCCAATAACTCAGTAACATGAATGTGGGACTAATGTATTATTCTTCCCGCAAATACTGTTTCACTTCAAAGAAATAACTGTAAAGTGGGGTAAATAATTGAAATCAAGGCTAAAGGGGGATGTGGATTTTTCCATACCTCAATTCCTATCACTTAAAAAAAAAAAAAGATTTTATTTATTTGAGAGCGAGAGAGCAATAGCACGAGAGAGTGGCAAAGGGAGACGCAGACTCAGGGACGCAGACACAGGCAGGGAGCCTGACATGGGGCTCCATCCCAGGACCCTGAGATCATGACCTGAGCCAAAAGCAGATGCTTAACTGGCTGAGCCACCCAGGTGCCCCAGTTCTTACCAGTTTTCTATTCTGAAATTTTGTCTTAGGTTGGCCTAGCTCTTTTTCACATGTTCCTTTCAAAGCCTGGATATGAAGGTTGTCCTCCACACACATCAAATAACAAATCACCAAGAAAGGGATGATTTTTGAGTCCCAGCCAGTTCACTCTCCTGTGCCGGAAATTCTGAATCTGGTAGGGTGAAAAGGGAAAATGAGATGGGCTACAGTTCCATCTTCCATGTATGCAGCCCAATGAAAGATTCAGGTACAGATCTTCCCCATGAGTTAGCTTATTAGGAACTACTTTGCTCTGCTTGTCAAAAACCTAGCTAAGAGCTGTGAAAGAGAAACAATTGTATCTAAAAAGGATGAGGAAAAGTATGTACACCTGAGGGGTCTAGTAGGGCATTGCTGCTGGAGCCTGGGCATGGAGGTAGGAAGATCAGGAAAACAGAGGAGGAAGTAGATTAATTTTGTCTGCCATAGTTGGCAACTCCTTATAATCTTGGTGATTATTGTCAGGGGCACCAGGGAAAGTCCTTTGCTCTGTAAACCAATGCCTGATACAGCATGTTTCCTTAGGTGCTGAAAGGCATTACAAAATCCGAGGTACTGTACATTTGGTTTCACAATTTGACTTACATGATTTATAGAGTGCTTTGAATGGTGCAGTTTGGTGGTAGAGACGGTATGAATGTCTTAGAGTTCATTTGTATCTGATAGCTGGATATTACATGCTTCCCCTCTGAGCAGTTCTTATGAGCTATACATTTATTCATGCTTTCATCGGAACCAACAACCTGTTGAGGTAAATATTCATTCTATTTGCAGATGAGGAAGCTGAAGCTTAGAAAGAGGATCAGTAACTTCCCCAAGGCCACACAGCTAGTAAGTGATAGATCTGAAATTAAGTCTGAGTCCAAAGATACTATTAAGCTTTAAAATCAATTGTCTCAAATGAAACACTAAGCCTATATGTGTGTGTGTTTTTTTTTTTCCTCCCCAGCAGGCTTTCCCCCCTACTCATTTGGGCACTCGTTTCTACTCTTAAAGAAAAATTGGGTTATAGCCGTGGCTTTGACTGCCTGGCGTGAAGGTGCCACCTGAATTCTCCGAACCCCTCTTCGGTCAGTTGAATGGAAGGGCAGAACCATGAGACCACCAAGCCCTTTCTAACGGTCAATTCCTACAATCTCTGTACTTTGTGGGTTCAGTGTTTGATCCCAGCTTACTTACTTTCCTAAATATAATGTTTTCTATTCGGAGCAAATACATTTATACTTTTATGGCTGGCAACCTACCACTGACCTCTAATGGGAGCTGACTGCGTGGGTAATAATTGTAGTCACTTACTGCATTTCTTGTATACCAGGACAGGTACTACGTACTCTACCGAAATGAGCACAACAGCTCTATCCCATGGATTTTATGGTTCCCATTTTAGAGAGGAAGAAGCCAAGGCTCAGAAAGTTTTGATTTATCCAAGGTCAAGCTAGAGAGTGGTGGAACCAGAATTCCATCCCCTCGTGTTTGACAGCAAAGCCCTTACATGTTAATGGGACATTAATGAAACGGTATGCATTTTCTAATTCCGCTTTAGGCTTCAAGATCTCGGACGTTGTTTTTTAACCATTAAAAAAAAAAAAAACAACTGTTCTATATTAGCTCCTGTTTTTGATTTTAGTATCTATCTGTTTTACCAACCGATGGCGAAGCAGAGTGAACGGGGGTTAGTTTTTACGTTAAACGCCTCTTTCAAAGTCTAAGTTTACCGCTAAGCGCAGTGAAAAGAACGGAGCTCCTGGCTTTGTGCCTCTGCGCGGGTGCGTGGATCTCCTTCCGCGTCCTCGCCGAGAACTCGCGTTCTTCCGCCGAACTACTCTTCCCAGCGTGCCGCGCGCCGAGAGCGCGGGCTCCCCCGGCCCTCCCTTCCTCTTGGCCTATCACCCGGTCGCAGTATGATGATGCAAGCGCGTCGGGCGCTGACGAGTGACGGCGTTCTGGCTCGCGACCGCGGCGGCGGCCTTAGCAGCGGCAATAGGCGCAATAGCGGCGGCGACTGCAGGGACGACGACGACGGCGGGGCGGGCGCTGTGCGCAGAGGGGAGGGGTAGGCGGGCGGCGCCGGCGGCTTCAACTGCGGCAGCTACGGCTAGGGCGACGGAAGAATCCCCATCAGCCGGCGGTCGAGTTAGGCCTAAGCAGCGCCTGGAGGGGCTGGCTCTGTCCTCTGCGGGGGATCTCCATAGAGACCGTGACATACACAGAGGCGGGGGTCCGCGGGAGGCTGCCGGACCGGAGCCAGCTCCTCGGCCTCTGTCGCCGCCACCGCCGTCCCTGGTGCCAGCGCGCATTTTCTCTTCACTCCTGCTCGAAACCTCGCGCCTCCTGGTGTGGCCGTGCTTCAGTGTGCGGGCAGCGAAGGCGGACTTTTGGGCCGGGGCCGGGCGGGGGGGGGCTCTAAGGCCTCCACCTCTGCCTCTCCCGCCCCCTTACCCGCCCCGAAGCGGGAAGCCGCGGAGGCTCCGCCATGGCCTCGGGAGCCGGAGGAATTGGAGGGGGCGGTGGCGGCAAGATCCGGACGCGGCGTTGCCACCAGGGGCCAATTAAGCCTTACCAGCAGGGGCGACAACAGCACCAGGTATGGGACCCCGACGCGGTGGCGTCTCAGCGGGTCGGGAACTCAGCGGGAGGGAACAGGCGGTGAGGGGCCCTGGCGCCCCACGTGGAGCGGACGGTAGGGCCTGAGGAAAGGCCCGAGCCAGGCGGCGGGATCTCAGGCCGCTGGGGTGGCGACGGGAAGTGGGCTGAGACAGGCCCATCTTTGCGGCACACACGTGTGGTTCAGGCCGCCTCCCTCCCCCCCGTCCTCCCCCCGCCTCTGGGCCAGGGGCTTCCCCAGACTGGCGTAGGGCGGGAACGGAAATTCTAGGCCTACGATGCGTTTTTCTTTCGTTTTTGGCGGGGACTGGGAGGTTTGAGCGTATTACTCAACCTTCTCTCGAGGGAGAAAGGAGAATATGTGGCTGGAGGTTCGTATGCTTGCTGTTTTCTACTCTCCCGCGTTTCAGTTTGTGTGGGGAGGGGGCTGTCCTAGGCAGTCTGCTTCCGAGGCACCCGGGGGTGGGGATGGGGCGCTGTTAAACAGAAAGTGGAATAACTTTGTTTTCATCCTGTTCATTCCGCGTCTCCTCCGCCGGTGTCTTTCGATCTGAGAGCATCTGCTTTGATTTTTTTTCCGAAACCCCCGTAACCTGGTTATAGTTACCCAGGCCCTGGGGCATTTTGAAAGTCCCTCTCCACCCTTACGTCTTTTCTCCGCTGCGAGACTCTTTCCTCCCTTCCTCTATCCTCCCCCCACCCCCATCTTAGTTTGGAAGCTAGAATTGGCTGTTCAGTACAGTTGAGCCGGACTCCAGTCCTGATCTCATGCACGAAATATTTTATTTAATTTTACGGGACGTATTCTAGACGTTTAGGTACTTTTGACACCCAGGAATGTTGGAGGTCTTAAATAATGAACCACCTTGCGCACTTACGGGTGTTTGAAATTATGAAAAGGAGTTTATCCTGACTGTAAATGAGACATTTTGAGAAAATCCGATTTAAAAAAAACTTTTTTGTTATGGGAATTGAGTAGGAAACTGTTAAAAATTTATTTTAATAAAGTCACTTACAAAACTTCTCAGTGAGACTAAGGTGCAGGTATGTGTGGGTCTTAAACTTGTTAAAAAAACAAAAGTATAGCAAAAGCGTCTGATAACTTGTTGCATCCTGTTAAAGGTAGAATTCCTAGATTGATTTATTCTGGATGGTGATGGTTTTTGAATAACATGTTTGGTGATGGGTGTTAAGTTGTATCATTAAAAACAAAACTTTTAAAGTGAAAATTTGGGGGGATTTTTTTTTAATAGTAAAAATGGTGATTTACAGTATTAAGTAGCTCTCTGCTAATGGTTAGAAGTCTTGACATTACTTTCACCTCTCCCTGGTTTTCCCCCAGATATATACAGAAAATGATTGTTTTTCAGATTTCTTTGTGAGGAACCAGGGGTACTTGCAGGCTAGTTTAAGATTAGAATTCAGGTCACACGCCTGGCCACTTAACCTAATCCTTTTGTAGAGGGGAAGTTAGACACACATGCTTTCTGTTTCCCCTGAAAAATAAATGTCTTTGAGTGCTTTTTAGATCTTAAAAGAAAGTTACTATATAAAAAGTGAAATGTTTTAAATACATGTATTGGATGGTCTGGACAGAGTTTAGAAAACACCTGATATATTCCAGGTGACAAAAGCTACAATCACAGCTTATTTTTAAATGTACTTACCTACTAATCTAATTTTGGGGAGATGATGCCTTAACATCATAGTACCTATGATCAAGTTGTCTTAGAGCTGATAAGATTTTGGGCTGTTTAGTTTTGTTTTAGAGTTTGATAATTTATCATTTCTCCCTATTTAAAATAGTTTTAGCTTCTTGTCCTAGCCATTTAACTGAAGAAGAAAATACATTTTAGCTTTTGGATTGTGATTAAAGGTGTTTAGGTGTTTGGGGTTTCTTGATCAGCACAGCCAGTGTTACTTAATATTGGCAGAAACTACTAAAGTGTCCAGGAGTATACAAAAAAATGTTCAATTTTTAAAATCTTAAAATAAAGACTGTCTTTAGTCCTGGCTGGAACTTTTGTGGACTTGTAGACTCCCTGCTTGCTGTCTTATGCTGTCACCTCTATGTTTTGCAGCAGCTGCTGAGTCATCATGAATAGCAAGGAGCTTCATGACATGGCATGTTTTAGACTAATGTTATTTGATTAAGTTTCCAAGGGTTTCTGGGCAAAAATGAAGTTTTTGGTTGTGTGGTAGAGGGTTGGAATAAGAATGAGAGGTCTGGCACTGTTCATGGGTGTTTGCCATTGCCTGTCAGGCCAGTTAGCTTGGGCAGTCATGCAGTACCTGCAATTTTTGCATGTGTTCCTCTGACTTGTAATTTCCTCTTTTGACTTCTGGTTTAGCTCTGCTGAGATACATCTAAAGATTATATTTTTTTCTTTTAACTTCTGATCTTTAAAATGTCATCTTGCTTGGAAATTTGGAGACAAATCCATTGTCTTATTCAACTAACTGAAGGGTAGTAACTTAAAGAATTGTAGAAGCAAAAATGAAGAACAGCCCTGAATAATGTAAGTTGATCATTTTCCCTTGCCTTCTGTACTATCCCCTAACTCAGCCCAGATGCCTTTAGGGAATGGTATCGTTTTCCTATCTGGTAGTGAACAGGACACTAAAGAAGATGTGGTTTTTGTCACTGTTTCAGTTTCCTTTCCCATTTCTTTTTCTTTTTTTTTTTTTTTCTTTTTTTCCTTTCCCATTTCTTATGCAGATTGTCAGGTCCAGGAAGTCAGCTCTGGCTATTAAGCTTTTCTTAATAGTCACCACAAAAAACTTGAGTCCCTGGGGAAACCAAAACCTTGCCTGGGAAAGAGTCTACTGCCACCTCCTGGTGAAAGGGAATTACTTATTTTTGCCCTTTTTTGGGAGGGGGTGTGTTAAAGAGGTTTTTGTCTTCTGGCTTGGAGCGGAGGGAATCCACTCATTTTATCTGCCTGGTTGTAGTTTATCTTACACCAAGTCAGTTTTTGCATTTAGCTATTTTAGAAAAAGGAGGGAACCCCTTTTTTGAGTAGCTTATTAGATCAGGAGTCTCCACACTTTTTTTGTAGAGGGCCGGATAACGAATATTTTAGGCTTTGTTGCTGCAAGTTCTTTGTTTTTACAACCCTTTAAAAAATGTAAAAATCGTTTTTAGCCTGAGGCTTTTATAAAAACAGGCTGAGGGCTAAAATTGGCCCACAGGCCATGGTTTGCCTAACCTTGGTTTATATGTTAGTTTAGGATTATTATTATTTTTTTTTTTTTTTGGTTTGGTAGTTTCTATATGATACTTTCTCCCAATATGCCCCACTTGGGATCTGATGGGGAAAAACTATTCTCAGTTTTGTAAAGTAATGATATTCAGACATGGAATACCTAAGTCATTCCAGAGGTCACTAAGTAGTTTTGTCTTTATTTTTACCTTTATTTGCTTTATTTTATCTTATTATTATTTTTAAAAGGTTTATTTATTTTAGAGAGCAAGTGAGCACGGGCGGGAGGGGCAGATGGAGAGGGAGAGAGAATGTCAAGCAGGTTCTGTGCTGTGCAAGGAGCCCAACTTGTGGCTTGATCTGATGACCCTGAGATCTGGACCTGAGCTGAAACCAAGAGTCAGGTACTAAATCGACTGAGCCACGCAGGGTCGCTATTTGTTTTATTTTAGATGTTAAATACTATCAGTGGAAACAGAACTGGAAATAGTTGGTAGGGAAAAAATGTACTATAATGCAGTTAGAGCATCCAGGTTTGAATCCTGTTCTGCCAGCATTTAGGGAAGCTATTTAAATTCTCTCCGCTTAATTTATGCATCTGTAAAATGGGAATGGTTGTGAGGGTTTAATGAGATGAGTAAATCTCTTACAACAGGACCTGGCATATGTATAGTAAGAACTCATTTGAAATCGTTGGATTAAATACAACCTTTTGTTTGTTTTTATTTATTTTTATTTTTTATTTTTTTGAAAAATTTTTAAAGATTTTATTTATTTGACAGAGACCCAGCGAGAGGGGGAGAACAAGCAGAGGGAGTGGGAGAGGGAGAAGGGAGAAGTAGGCTCCTTGCCCCTGTGCAGGGCTCCATGCCAGGACCCTGGAATCATGACCTGACCCTAAGCAGAGGCTTAACTGACTGAGCCACCCAGGCACCCCTGTTTGTTTTTAAAGATTTTATTTATTTATTTAAAAAAATTTTTTAAAAGATTTTATTTATTTATTTGACAGAGATCACAAGTAGGCAGAGAGGCAGGCAGAGAGAGGAAGAGAAGCAGGCTCTCTGCTCAGCAGAGAGCCCGATGCGGGGCTCCATCCCAGGACCCTGGGATCATGACCTGAGCTGAAGGCAGAGGCTTTAACCCACTGAGCCATCCAGGCGCTCCAAGATGTTATTTATTTATTTGAAAGAGAGAGAGGGTACACGGACAAGCAGGGGAGAGCAGGATGCTGAGGGAGAGGGAGAAGCAGGCTTCCTGCAGAGCAGGGGGAGTCCAGCGTGGGACTCTATCCGAGGACACTGGGATCACAACCTGAGTGGAAGGCAGTTGCTTAACTATCTGAGCCACCCAGGTGCCCTAAATACAGCCTTTTGATTTACATGTTTGTCTCTGAATTTTGCTGCCTCTTAAGAGATTTCTTTCCCTTTATGTACTCAAGCTCAATCTTTTAAAGACCTGTATTGGATTTAGGGACTTGTTTACTGGGTGATGAGGTGGGACTTTAAACTGTTACCCTCTTAAGTACTTATTTTCAAACACATTGTCTTCATAGAAATGTCAGTTATTGAGTGTATCGAGGAAAATAAATCAAATATTAAGGTCAGTGCATAGTAGGTTTTTTGTTTGTGATGAGAGGCCCTTGTGTGTGATATTTTAGCAATTCACTTACCAATGTTTTTAATAAAATAAATGACAACAAAGCCCAGGGATTGTCTCCATATCCCGGAAAGTCCCCTGATGAGGCCAGTATATATTAGTTTGAAATAAAATCAAGACT